TCCGTTCCCAAGCAAAAAGCTGCACATGTCATCAATTCTCGTTCGCACAGCCCGCGCAAATTCGAAAGCAGAGCCCGATCCGACAAAACGGACAAAACGGCGCAACCCGTCATTTCCCCAGCAAGGAAAAACTGCACAAATCATCCATTCCCATTCAAAAATTGCGCAAGTTCGAAAACAGAGCCCGACCCGACGACATGAACCATGCTGCGCAAACCGCCGGTTCCCAAGCAAAAAAGCTGCACAAGTCATCGCTTCCCTTTTCAAAAAACCTGGACAAGTTCGAAAACAGAGCCCGGCCCGACAAAGCGAACAAAGCTGCGCAACCCGTCGGGTCCCGAGCAAAAGAGCTGCGCAAATCATGAACTCTCTCAAAAAACCTGCACAAGTTCGAAAACAGAGCCCGACCCGACAAAACGTTCAAAGCTGCACAACCCGTCGGTTCCCAAGCAAAAAAGCTGCACAAGTCATCTGTTCTCTTTCAAGAAACCTGCGCATATTCGAAAACAGAGCCCGACCCGACAAAACGAACACAACTGCGCAGCCCGTCGGTTCCCAAGCACAACAGCTGCACAAGTCATAAATTCTCTTTCGAAAAACCTGCGCATATTCGAAAACAGAGTCCGACCCGACAGGGCGAACAAAGCTGCGCGAGCCGTCGGTTCCCAAGCAAAAAAGCTGCACAAGTCATCAAGTATCTTACGAAAAAAACTGCGCAAGTTCGAAAACAGAGCCCGACCCGGCAAAACGCAGACAAAAAGAAACACAAACCGCCGGTTGCCAAGCCAACAAGCTGCACAAGGCATCAATTCTCTTTCGAAAAAGCTGCGCACATTCGAAAACAGAGCCCGACCCGGCAAAACGAAAAAAGCTGCACGACCCGTCGATTCCCAAGCACAACAGCTGCGCAAATCATCAACTCTCTTTCAATGAAACTGCACAGGTTCGAAAACAGAGCCGGGCCCGACAGAGCGAACAAAGCTGCGCGAGCCGCCGGTTCCCAAGCAAAAAAGCTGCGCAAGTCATCAGTTCTTTTCCGAAAAAGCCGTGCACATTCGAAAACCGAGCCCGACCCGACAAGACGAAACAACTGCGCTACCCGTCGATTCCCAAGCAAAAAAGCTGCACAAGTCATCAACTCTCTTTCAATGAAACTGCGCATGGTCGAAAACAGAGCCGGGCCCGACAGGGCGAACAAAGCTGCGCGAGCCGCCGGTTCCCAAGCAAAAAAGCTGCGCAAGTCGTCAATTCTTGTTCGAAAAAGCTGCGCAAATTCGAAAACCGAGCCCGACCCGACAAAACGAAAAAAGCTGCGCTACCCGTCGACTCCCAAGCAAAAAAACTGCACAGGTCATCAAGTCTCTTTCAAACAACCTGCACAAGTCGAGATTTCATACAGGATTCCGCTGGTCTCGTTGGCATGTCTAAATCCCAAGTTCCACCGTCTGGATCCTAAGTCTAAATTCATAAATCTCCGACTTATTGTTAACAACCTAGTATCGCATTATAGACGGGAGTCGACAGTGTGTGATTTCTGATGACATAGGAGCCCAGCTTGCCGAGGACAAGGCCGTGCTTTTATGCTCCAATAAGAACCTCGGCCTGGACATCCAGACGGAGCTCGGAGCGCCCCTCGCCGGCCCTCTCCGCGCTGCCGCTGCTAATCTCGATGTCGGCGACGCCGTGGGGCTGCCCCTCCGACGCCGGGGGCTGGGATCAAAAGCTAAAGCCCGTAAGAAGAAAGCGGGTGCTCGAGCGAAGCGCGCGGGGGGGCTCCAGAAAACCATCGGCCGTAGAGCCCGCGACATTTGGGTTGCCGGGCCCCTTCCCGCGGCCACTTACGGGGCCGAGATCCGCGGTGTGTCTGGCGGGGAACTCCTTTCATTGCGGCGGTCGTTCGCGTCAGTGTTGAAACCTGCCGGCGGAGACCGATCGCTCTCCATCCTCATTTTGCTCGAACAAGGCCCCACCTGGAGGGCTCGAGTCGCGCCGATAATCAGATGGCACAAACAAGTGCGGCATGCCCACGTGCGCGCCCGCCATTCGATCTTGTCTTTCGCCACGCTGCGTGCCGCTTGGGAGAAGGTTTGGCAGAACCCTTCGACAACGTGGCGTAGCGTCAGTGGCCCTGTCTCGGCCATGAGAAAGAGCCTCGAGAGGCTCGGATGGGGGATGGGCAATTTTGCCACTCTGGTCACGGACCAAGGGGGCCCCTTCTCCCTTGCCCTCAATACCCCTGGGCCCCTCAAACATCTCCTGAAGGACGCAGTTTTTCGGCGTCTGGAAAACGACATCGGGGAGACAAACTCATTGCCAAGACGAGTGTGCTACGACATCGTAGCCAAGTGCCTGCGTTCCAACAAGTAGACGGCCCTTGAGAAGGGCACCCTCCGGGCAGCAGCATGTGGTGCGATCTGGACCAGACAGTATGCCAGAGGCAAAGGATACGACTACCCTCCAAACTGCCCTCTTGGATGCGGCAGCCCTGACACGCTTTTTCATCGTATCTGGAAGTGCCCGTGCCTGCAGCAAGAGAGAGAAGAACTCGCGAAACCGGGGGCCCTTGCTGACGTCGAGCGGCTCGTCAAGGATCGCAACTTATTCTTCGCTGTTACCAGCGGCGGCTTCCCTCGCCCCGGGGGCGAGCCCCCCCCCCCCCCCCTTGCCGAAGGCTCCTGGCAGGTCACCTGGCACTCCGGCGCCCCGACTGATATCATGGATATCAGCGGTAAGACTCACCCTGTCACGACTCACCCTGTCAAAGAGCTTCGCCGAGCAGGTTTATCAAGATAGTGCGCTAGCTTGCGAAATGCGATGCCCAGTGTGGGCACCGCTGCCCCAGACCCCTCAGCGTGCAGAGTTTTGTGCACTCACGGGCACAGTCATGTGTTTAGCTGATGACAGTGATATCATATGAGATTGCCTCGGTGTTGTAAAGCAGTTTGCTGACTCGTGGGAGAGAGCAACACATTTTCGTAGGCAGTATGGAAGTCACATTGTGCAGGCTCAGAATGATGAGAGATCAAAGCTTATTAGAGGCCTTGAGAAAATCAAGGCCCACCAATCCCTTCAATAAGAAGGGCTCAGCGAAGAAGAGATGTTTATGCGCACTGGCAACCACGCGGCAGACCTAGGGGCGAAAGCTGCAGCGGCTTTGCACCCAGAAGCAGACCCCGAGCTGCATGAGAGAATTAACGAGCACATCAGTTTTGTGCATTCGTTTTGCATCATCGCCATGAAGTTATTCGGGCATTTTCCTGCTTTAAAGGAATATGGGGAGGTCAAGTACACTCCCAAGCCAGCAGCTGGCCGTAAGACCAACGAGCTCTGTCAGTTCCAATGGATCGCTCGGGGCTGGCGGTGTACGGTTTGCTGCAAGCTAGGACGTAACCCTCGCGCTGACACCGCGCAGGCGCGAGTATGCAGTGGAGTGCCGAGATTGCTTGATCTCGACAAAGTCTTACATAATGATCACAATGTTGTCGCTCTCGCGTGCTCAGACGCGAGCACGCTTTTTGTATGTGTTCATTGTGCAGCCTTTGTCTCGATCGGCTCGCCTCTCAAAAGCAACTTGTATAACAAGCGTTGTTTGAGGAGGCTTGAGCCGAGGCAGAAGACTAAGTGGAATCACGTTCTGAAATTCCACCATCCTGACCCCAGGAAGCCCTCCGTGCGTGTGAGCTCAGAGGACCTCCTGAGAGAAGGCGGCGAGCCAGACACCGAGCAGGTCAAGCCTGTACCAGCGGCCCCGTCTCATGCACTCGTGGGCCTCGAAGCCCCTCAGACTCTTGACGAAGCCCCGGCGGCAGAGACTCCCCCTTCGGAGCCTGATGCCGCGGAGCCTTCTGAAGCGTGTCGCCCTCCGCATCGTGCGAGAACGGCTCGCTGATGAGGATGATAGTGCGCCACTCTGCCCAGCACCCACGCCACCGACCAGCACTTTCAACGCGAAGGTGCGGAGGTTACTAAGAGCTGCTGGAGGCAGCCCCAGTGGGAGTGGGGGGCCTGAGCGGGGGGGGGGGAGACTCTGACGCATCAGACTAGCGTAGCAGTCTCGTTACCACGTGCAGCACATTTTCCGCCACTGCTTAGGAGAACAACTTGCGATCTCCCTGAAGTGTTACTCCCAGTCGCATCTGCAGCACATTTTCCGCCACTGCTTAGGAGAACAATCCGAGACGGACACTTTAGTGCAACTGCGGCCGGACACTTTAGTGCAACTTGCATCCTGCATCTTCGGTCACACAGGACCTCGTCGCTGCCGTCGTCTTGTGTCTCACTCAGACTAGCTGAGCACTGCAGCTGGAGCCTCGCGGCCAAAAATTCCTCCCCTTCCTCCTCCTCCTCCTCCCCCTCTTCCCCCCCTCCTCCTCCTCCTCCTCCTCCTCCTCCCCTCCTCCTCTTCCCCCCCCTCCTCCTCCTCCTCCTCCTGCTCCTCCTCCTCCTCCTCCTCCTCCTCCTCCTCCTCCTCCTCCCCGCCCCCGCTCCCCTCTCTGCAGGGCTCCCTGCGGGGTCCGCGGCGCGGTCCGATCCCCCGGGTGCCGCACTGATGCGCTGGGAATCGGGCCTTGAGAGGTGCAGTGTAGCATAGCATTACCGTCACCATTCCCGTTCCCATTCCCATTCCCAGTCCCATTACAATTACCACTACCATTGCCATTGCCATTATCATTACCATGGCCAGTCTCATCATTACCTTTACCATTGCCATCGTCATCATTGCGATTGTCAATATCATTATCAGTGCGCTACCCCGTGCCACATCGCAGCACACATCATGATTCTCTCTCGCAATTTCTCTGGGACCATGGTTCAACCTTACTTCCTACTACACCACTGGTGGGTATACTGAGGTATTCATGGCGTAACCGATGTTTCTGGTGCCATGACACTACTCATGGTACCACTCGAACTTCTGCGACACTTCGAATTTAGATACGTGTAGCTGCTCAACTCGCATCGAACGGATATGAACATTATGTACGTCATAATTTACAGATCGGATGGATTACCGCATGCCCACAGCCTGAACAGTGAATGTTGAAAACGACGCACTCGGCGACGGCCGGCAGCGAAGACGACGACGGGCGACGACGACCGACCGATCGTCGGAGTGCAGCGAGGGTGCGGCAAGAGGAGGGCGGCGTGGCCGAGAGAGCTGCTGAAGGCAAGCCGTGTCCACCGATGCTAGCTCATATCGCCAACACGGACGACGCGCACAGTGGCACCAGGCTTTGCAGCGCCCCGCCAGCGCCTCGCTCCTCCACTCGAAGGGGGGCACGTTTTGCACTGCAGGAAAGCGTCTCCATGTTCCAGAGACCTACAGCTCAGGGGGGGGCGTCTGATTACTCGGCCCTGTCGCAGATGCATGAGCGATGGAATGCCGTCGGGGTCCTACTATCTGGAACCGTGGGCCGACACAACCCCCCTTGCCCAACATCGTTGCATCCCTCTCTTCTCTGCCTCCGCTTTCTCCTCATCCTCCGCATCCTAGGGTCGTCTGGCTTCCTCCTCCTCCCCCCGTCTCAAAAGCCACATCTATTGCCGGTGCATCGTCGACGCGTCGCCGATACCTACCCACACGGAACGCGCTTAATCTGATCTATAGAGGAGGGAGGGCATCTGATGGGAAAGCAATGGCGTCTCCCAAATCAAGTACCACCTATGACACATCCAACTCCAGAGCGGACAAGGCAACCGCAACAAGAGGATAAGGAGGAGGGGGAGAGGGGATAGGAACAATTCCGCTGTGCGTGCATGCCGCATTGGCTAACTGGTCAACATTACAATTAGACATCGCACAACACTTGGCACGTAGAAACGAATGTACTGCATGGGGGAAACCCGTGCGGCGTCGCAACCGTGATGCCACGTCGAAGGCGGACGCATACATGAAGAAGGGCGAGCGACAGGGAGAGAACGACAGCAAAAGAGAGAGAGAGGGACACAACGAGAGAGAGCGAGAGAGAGAGAGAGAGAGAAAACAAGAGAAAGCGATAACGATGAACACGAATGACAACAATCGCAAAGGAGGATCGCTCCCGCAATGACGCTAGGTATGAGACGACCCCGTGCGCCGCATCCCCGACCCGCACCGCTGGCACACACGTTGTATGGCGGCAGCATTGCTGGGCGAGTGCAGTAGGGGCCCGACCAACAGAAACCTTCCACAAGAAACCCCAACCCTGAGACCCCAGGACGTCCATTGATTTCTGGTGTCGGAACGTCGCGCTTGCCATCGCAAAACCATCGACGCCCAAGAAACCCAGGGCACCCTGGGGGCGAGCACGGTGTTTCTGGGCATGGGTCTCCACTGTAGCCCACCCCTGAACACCCTGCATGGGAAGCTGTCGCGAGGCGGAGGAACGCCAGCCCAACGACAGTCACCGCGCGTGGACAGCAGGATGGCGGAGGGGCAAGCTCGGGAACAACACCTGAGGTTGGTCCGCCGCGCCCCCCCCCCCCAGCACGCAACACAGCGCGGGCGTTCGACTGGCCCCCAGGCACAGCCAATTAGAAAAGACAGGGGGAGGGAGCGGACAGGAGGAAGGAAGAGGGAGGTGGCTGCAGCCAGCGAGTTCGTGCCTGATGCGCGAACAGTGAGACTTGGAGCATGGGGGCAACCAGGTCGCCCACGTCTCTGCCCAACAACCAAAGCTCGTCAACCACGGATTGGCGGGCATGGCTTCCAGCCGCCCCAAAGGCATCTAGGGAGGCCGAGGGAGGGACAAGAGAAGGGAGAAAGACTGAAAGACAGAGAACGATAGAACGAACCAGTGAAAGCCACACAGACACATCATATACATAAAGAGGGGGCAGGCGTGGCGACAGCGGCATCCTGGGTGCCCTGCTGCGCGCCTGGACAGGACGAGGCGGCGGAAAGGGCGAGCCCAGTGCACGACGCTAGAATCAGCAACCCGCGGCCGTGCATGGCAAAAACGCGCATCGATCCAGTCCGCAGCAGGCTCAAACCCGCCAGCTGCTGGGGCTGGAGGGGGCGACGAAAACGACGATGTGACGGCGACGCAGGCAGAGATGAGAACGAGCTCGCAGCGTTGCGTGTCAGCCACTGCCGAAAAGGGCCCGCTGGAAGACAGGGCGTCCTACAACCAGCTCGCGCACGCACTGGGGCAACGCTTGGCGCGCTGCAGCCGTGCTGAAAAAAAGGCAATGCACGTCTTGCACAGATGCAGTGCGCTCTTCCTTGCACGCGAGCATTTAGCCGATCACGTCCGAAGAAACACCGACACACCCGCGGCCCGAGCTCGCGGAGAACCGCGATGCAGCGCTCCGCCTAGCAGCGTGGGAAGTGTTGGACACTCCAAGCTGTGACTGTGTGTGGAATGCGCCACCCCATGCTGCTCTGGACACCCGTGTCGGGAGCGGCCAAGAGGGGGGTGTCCAAGAGGGGGGGGTGCAAATCATGACCGGCGGCATGTGCGCGGCCCAGCGGGGGGGCCAGGGACGTATTGAAACAAGAAGAGGCGCCATGAAATCTGCGGAAAAATCATGGCCCGCGCCATGAAATCCAGCCCCCCCTAGTCATCACCCCCCTCTTTTCCGCTCCCGATGCTCTGGACACCCGTGGGCCGTGGGCAAAGCAGCGAACACGGTCCGCCGGAAACCGCGCCGCCGTGCGGCGGCGAGGCTGCTGCGGCATGGGCGGGGCCCTCCGTGCGCCAATCTGCTTCCAGTGGTTGCTTCTGGGCGGAGCCCACTGGCCGCAAAACGCCCCCCCCACAGCGACCTCGAGCTGCGAAGGAGGAGGAAGAGGCGGAGGAGCAGGAGGCGGAGGAGGAAGAGGCGGAGGAGGAGGAGGAGGAGGAGGAGGAGGCGGAGGAGGAGGAGGAGGACAAGGAGGGGGATGTCCGCCAAAAACTACGACGAGCAGCGAACAGAAGGCGATCCACGTGCTCCACATCCCGCATCCATAGCCGCAGCTGACGCGACCGGACCAGCCACGCCGAGGGCGTCGGCCTGGTGCGCCACCCGAACGCGGTACAGTCGGGGCGTTGACCCAACGAACGATCAATAAAGAACGCAGCCCCTGTTTTCTCAACTAGGTCCATGAAATCTGAAGGACTGCCAGGGGGGCTCGCCACCCAAAAAGGAACCGAACGCATGCAAACCTAAGAAACGGCCGAGCCCCTTTCGGAAAGTCGGTGGACCGTCTTCAACGCCCCGACTGTACACCAGGGAAAACCTCGCAACGTCCGGGACATCTTTCGGGGAGCCGAGCTCCGCCAATTTTGCGTAGATCTGTTTGGACGCCCGAAACGGGCACGGAAAAAATGGGTATAATGCCCAACAACACATGTTGTCCCAAACCAAAAAGCGGCCGCTGTTGGGCAGGCGGCCTTCTGCCTCGAGTGGACACAGGCCGCGGCGGCGTGGACGGCGAATCCTTTTCAAAATGAACAGGAACTGCTGTTGGGCATAGTACCCTTTCTTTCCGTACCCATTTCGGGCGTCCAGAATCTGCCAGCGTGCACCAGAACCCAAGTCGAGGGCGAGGGCTCGGAGAGCAGCGGCCCCCAGCGCGCCCCCCAGCCCGGCAGAGGGCAGTCCAGCTGGAGCGAGAATGTGTGCGCACACTGCGCGCCAGCGCGCTCAGGAAGAGCCCGCTTCCCGCGGCACCCCAGCCCCGAGCGCGGTCCAAGAACGTCTCGAGTGGCTTCATGAGAGAGCGGTCGGGGCGTTTTTGGTTCGAGTGCAGACCCCAAGCACTTCGCATGTAACCCCACCTTCAGGTTAGGTCGGGCATGTCCCCCTACAGGCGGATTTTGGACGACAAATAAACATATATATATATATATATGTATATACACGTATATATACATATATGTATATGAATATGTATGTATACACATATATCTCTATATATATATATATATATATATATGTATAAACATGTCAAACAATACTCGAACAATCGTCCCCAGACTATTTCTTGACACTTCTTGACTATTCCTCCTGTAGAGGGACGTGCCCGACTTAACCTTAATGCTTGCCCGCGTGGGGACAAACACAGACATATCCCGCCCAATTAGAAAAACTGGTCCTGCGCAAGAACATGGGGCGACAAATGCATGCGCGGGGAAAGATCACGCAATAACGCCGTCAAGCAGACACCGTCTCTCAATTTGCACTCGAGCCATCGCGCGCGCTTCGCGCGCGCTTGACCTCTACTTGCCATGCGGCGAGACGTATGGAGCGTCAGAGGGGCCGTGTCCCAAGTTGGGCCTCCGAGGCCATCTTGGAGCCACACTTTCGCAACACATGTGAACGTTTGGATTCGGTTTTGGTTTTGACTGTTGGTCCCGTGGCCACTCTGGCAGACTCTCGGGGCCTCACTGTGCTGCGGGACACTTCCTGGGGCGGCCTGGGGCCCTCCTGGAACCGTCGCGGAGCCCTCTTAGAACTTCTGCGCAATTCTGTGAGTCTCCTGGGGGAGCTCGGCGGAAGGGGAGGGGGAGGAGGAACCAGTAGGGACCAATGTGAACCAGAGACTCATCGCCGATGTTGTATTCGTCCTGTAGAGGGACAGGAAGCTCCGAGGAGGGCCAGAGAGGCCACGGGGAAGGTCCCGGGGCGGGGGGGGGAGGGGCGTTGTCGGGGTGCCCCTGGGGCCCACCTCCTCCTCCTCCTCCTCCTCCACAATTACGCAATATGAATAATTACTACTCTCCCTCTTCCACTGATGACGTCTTGGGAATATTCGCCCCCCCCGCGTACTGTTTTTACCTAACAGCGAAGACTGATAGGTTTCTAGTGGGCTCAAAAGAGAGCATCATGACTCCTCAGGGGGGTCGGGGCGGGACCCGGGGCGGGACCCGGCGCGGCTGCCGCCGAAGCCCAAATCGCTTTGGACATCCTCGCAAAATCGCTCTTGGCGCTGCTAGAACTCCATTCCCGGCGTACATTTTGGATGCCCGGAGCCAACTGTAGGCCACTTCGTGGTCTTCGACTTCCCAGAACTCCATTCCCGGGTACATTTTGGATGCCCGGAGCCAACTGTAGGCCACTTCGTGGTCTTCGAGTTCCCAGAACTCCATTCCCGGGCCACATTTTGGATGCCCGGAGCCAACTGTAGGCCACTTCGTGCTCTTCGAATTCCCAGAACTCCATTCCCGGGCCACATTTTGAATGCCCGGAGCCAACTGTAGGCCACTTCGTGCTCTTCAAGTTCCCAGAACTCCATTCCTGGGCATGATTTTGAATGCCCGGAGCCAACTGTAGGCCACTTCGTGTTCTTCTAGTTCCCAGAACTCCATTCCTGGGCCACATTTTGAATGCTGAGGCAGGCTGATGCTGAGGCTGAGGCTGAGGCAGGCTGAGGCTGAGGCCGAGGCTGAAGGCAGACTGAGGCTGAGGCTGAAGCAGGCTGAGGCTGAGGCTGAGGCAGGCTGAGGCTGAGGCTGAGGCAGGCTGATGCTGAGGCAGGCTGAGGCTGAGGCTGAGGCTGATGCAGGCTGAGGCTGAGGCAGGCTGAGGCTGAGGCCGAGGCTGAAGGCAGACTGAGGCTGAGGCTGAAGCAGGCTGAGGCTGAGGCTGAGGCAGGCTGAGGCTGAGGCAGGCTGAGGCTGAGGCTGAGGCAGGCTGAGGCTGAGGCTGTGACTGCGACTGCCGTTGCCACTGCGACTGTCATCGCGAATGCGACTACGACTGCGAGAACAGCAGAATTCTACAACTGGATTCTCATCTGAATCTGAAGGGGAATGCTTCCAGATATGCTCCTACACATCGCTGTGAGGTTGCTTTGCCGGGATAGTTTTACACACAGGTTTCCCCGGAATTGGGTTTTCGCTTGCATTTTTTTCCAAAATGCTGCTCTCGCTGAGGCGCCGGCCTCATTTTCGGGCCCCGCTCGTTCCGAATCGTGCTCCCGCTGCAACGCTGGCATCATTTCCGCCGGCGCCCGGGCTGCACGCCCGAGCCGGCGCCCGGGCCGGCGCCCGGGCCGGGTCCAGAGCCGGTTCTGGCCGGCGCCGGAAAATCGAGTTCCGAGGCGGCGCCGAAAAAAGGTAATTCTAATCCACATTTTTCTTTTGAAAATGCTGAATTTCTTCTTCCAGGAACCCTCCCGGGCCGATTCCGACGCCCAGGCCGGCGCCCGAGCCGGCGCCCAGGCCGGACGCCCGAGCCGGCGCCCGGGCCAGCGCCCGGGCTGGGTCTGGAGCCGGTTCCGGCCGGCGCCGGAAAATCGAGTTCTGAGGCGGCGCCGAAAAAATGCCATTCCAATACAGATTTTTCTTTTGAAAATGCTGAATTTGTGCTTCTGGCGGGAAGCCTTCCCCGGAGTTAGGTTTTCGCTTGCAATTTTTCCCAAAATGCTGCTCTCGTTGAGGCGCCGGCCTCAATTTCGGGCCCCGCTCGTTCCGAATCGTGCTCTCGCTGCAGCGCTGGCCTCATTTCCGTGCTTCCGCTCGTTCCGAATCGTGCTCCCGCTGCAGCGCTGGCCTCATTTCCGCGCTTCCGCTCGTTTCGACTCGTGCTCCCGCTGCAGCGCTGGCGTCATTTCTCGTGCCATGCCACGCATGCAATGCAATGCCAGGTTGATACTACGCTTCGCGGTGTCTTCTACGCCATGCCTGCCGTGCTCTACAATGCATCGCGTACCCTTTCGGGATCATCGCCCTGCTTGACATCCGACTGTGCGAGTAGAGAGGGGATCTGCGCCATGGTAAGGGATGGGAGGGAGGGGTAGGATGTCAGATATGACGCGAGCGACGCCGCTCCTAGCTTGTCCTCCTCCCCCTCCTCCCCCTCCCCCCCCCTCCTCCTCCTCCTCCTCCTCCTCCTCCTCCTCCTCCTCCTCCTCCTCCTCCTCTTCCTCCTCCTCAAGCTGCCGCTTTGGGTCAACCTCCCGGGTCGACCCCCGCGGCCGCTTGGCAGGCGACCTCCCCAGGTTGACTGCCCCGCTCGCGCCGCCGCGGCCATGTCTGGCGCGGCTGTCGGCGCTGCCTCGTCTGGTGTTGCTCGCCGCCGTCGCGAGCAGAAGCAACGCTCCACTGCCCGCAACGTGCAATGGCTGCTGTCGCTGCGCCAGGCCGGTGCCGCGCATCACACCTCCGCTCCAGGTAGTGTTGGGGCCTCGGAGGTCTGCGAGTTGCGACGCGAGCTCAGCGTGATGAAACAGGAGATTGCAGAGCTCCGCATGCTGCTCGCGTCAGCTGGGCACTTGAACTTCTCGGCAGCTGTTCACGGTCTCGGTGAAGATCCTGAGCCCCATGTTGTCTCTGGCGTTCCTGGCTATTCTCATGCAGATCGCGAAAGCCGAGGCCCAAGTGATGGGCCCTACTCCGAGGTCGGTAAGGACAAGGGCAAGGTCATCGGGAACGGCAAGGGCAAGGCCAAGGAGGCCTTTGGTGCGCCCCCCGGCAACCCTCCAGCTTCTCCTCTTGCTGCTGATGCTGCACCCACTCCTCGTGCTTCTGGAGCTGTTCACGGCAGTGGAGTTGCTCTCTTTGCAGGCGCTGCCGGCCAGGCGGGACATGCGCCACTTCTTGGAGCTCTTCCTGGCGATGCTGCCGCCCCCTCTGCCAGTCGGGACGCCTGGGCAGATGGCCATGACTCGCGGGCCCAGGTGCGAGCCCCTGCTGCTCGCCATGTATCTCGTGAAGAACGTCTTGCTCGATTCAGTACGGGAGCGCCTCCTGCCAAGAGCAAGGACAATGAGAAGGATGTGAGGGCCAAGCGTTTTGCTCCCGTTTAGCCTTCCCCTGCCTTCCTGCCTCATTGTGTATCCCTCCCTCCCCCTGCCTCTTCCCCCGGAGTTGTCTGCTCGATTATGGGGTGGTGGAGGCTTGGAGGAACTAGGAGGCGGAGGAGGATATTGTTTCTTTTTAAACGACTGTGCTATATCGTGCGCAGTTCATTGATTTCTCGTGGCCAGCGGTGGCAACCAATGGAACTGGTTTGTAGCCTACCGCTTGCTTGCCCCTGCTTTGCACTGCGTGGGACTCATCGCGGTTGTTCTCTCTAGGTCGGGTCCTCTGGAATGTTGTTTGGAGGGCCGCCCTGTGCCGCTTAGCGGTGCAGGGTCGGCTCTCCATCCTTCGTTGCTGGATGGCCCAGCCTTGCTCCCGACGTGTCCAATCCTCCTCCTCCTCCTCCTCCTCCTCCTCCTCCTCCTCCTCCTCCTCCTCCTCCTCCCCCTCCTCCTCCTCCCCCCCTCCTCCTCCTCCTCCTCTCCTCCTCCTCCTCCTCCTCCTCCTCCTCCTCCTCCTCCTCCTCCTCCTCCTCCTCCTCCTCCTCCTCCTCCTCCTCCTCCTCCTCCTCCTCCTCCTCCTCCTCCTCCTCCTCCTCCTCCTCCTCCTCCTCCTCCTCCCCTCCTCCTCCTCCTCCTCCCCTCCTCCTCCTCCTCCTCCTCCTCCTCCTCCTCCTCCTCCTCCTCCTCCTCCTCCTCTCCGCCTCCGCCTCCCCCTCCCCCTCTCCCCCTCCTCCTCCTCTCCTCCTCCTCCTCCTCCTCCTCCCTCCTCTCCTCCTCCTCCTCCTCCTCCCTCCTCCTCCTCCCTCCTCCCTCCTCCCTCCTCCCTCCTCCCTCCTCCCCTCCTCCTCCTCCTCCTCCTCCTCCTCCTCCTCCTCCTCCTCCTCCTCCTCCTCCTCCTCCTCCTCCTCCTCCTCCCCCTCCCCCTCCTCCTCTTCCTCCTCCTCCTCCTCCTCCTCCTCCTCCTCCTCCTGGCGGGCTTCGGGTTTTCTGCCACGCCTCTTGTAAGATACCCAACCACACTGGCGCACGCGGCCAACGGCACAGTCGACTCTGCATGCGAGACCTGCTGCTCTATTGGTGACTGCGCCCAGCAGCCAGCGCCTCTGCTTGCCGTGCGCTTCGCGCTTTTCAGATGTTGTTTCATCTGATGCCCTGCGGTATGGCCGCGCTTTTTGCCGTGCCTCATCCAACTCGTAATTGGATTCATCTTGTCCCCGCACACCATCGGGAATCAACATGGCTAACTAGAGTTGGGCCTTGCGGTGGCTGCGGCACGACCGCACCTGGGAAGATCCAGGACGACGGAACCGTGCTCCCTGCCACACACTACGCGCGTGCACCTGTTGTGCAGGCAAGGGGGCCGCCACGAGGTGCGGGGGCTCCTTGGGGCACGCCAACGGCTGCCGTAGAGCATCTCGCAGACAGGCGCGGGCCACGCCCGGGAGCGCCGCCCTGAACAATAAGAAGGCCGCCAAACCAGCGTCGTCACGAGAGGCTTAGGTCGGGCGTGTCCTCCTACAGGCGGATCTTGGACGAAAAATCCGCCGACCCTGTCGGCGTGTGTGAGGGGCTTGTCCGTTCAAGTCGTCGTCTCCGTCATTCGTTGGTCGTCGTCTCTGTGGTCCCCTTTCCCTGCCTCCCCCCCTTTCCCTGGGCTCGTCGAAGCTCCCCCCTTTCCCAGGGACCTCCTCAGCGCGCCAGCCACAGCAAAGTTGAGCAACGTCGTAATTGAGTCGAATGGAAGCCCCTTCCCTTCGACCCCTCCCCCGCCGGGGGGGAGGGGGGATGGGGGGGGGCGGTCCCGGGGGGGGGGGGGTCAGATACCCCTGTGAGTCCCGGAGCTCCAAAAAGCCCCAGGACGGGCCAAGAGTGCCCCAAGAGGCCCCAACGACTTGACGGCCTCCAGACGGCCCAAGAGGCTTGCAAAGCGCCCCAAGAGGCCTACAAGAGCTTTCCCACGAGAGCCCCAAAAGGCAACATTCATGGATTTCCCATACGTTTTCGGAAGATTTTGACGTTCTTGCCTCTTCCGCTTCCCGACGCGCCAAGGAGAGTACCCAGACGGGGGACCCGAACGGACATTTCGAGCTCTCAGCCCCAAGAGGCCCCCGAGAGGCCCCGAAGAAGCCCCAAGAGGCCCCAAGAGGCTCCCAAGGGGCCCCCAAGCTGCCCCAAGACAGCCCAGGAGAGCCCCAAATTGCCCAGGAGGCCTCCAAGAGTGCCTCGAGACGGCGCAAGAGGAGCCCTGGACGGCCCAAGACGGCCTCAAGAGAGCCCCAGGCTGTCCCAAGAAAGCCTCTGGCCTCCTCCTCCTCCTCCTCCTCCTCCTCCTCCTCCTCCTCCTCCTCCCCCCCTCTGCTCCCCCTCCTCCTGCTCTCCTCTGCCTCCTTCTCCTCCTCTTGCTTCTCCTCCACATCCTTCTCCCCCCTCCTCCTCCCTCATCCACCTCTTCCACCTTTCCTCCACCTCCCACTCGTCCTCCTCCCCCTGCCCCCCCCTCGTTTTCATCTTCGTCGTTCTCAGGGTCGGCGGCACCGGCCGCAAGGCCTTCGCAATAAAGCATAGTCAAAACAAACTAGAAAAATGATCGAACACACACGCAAAACAGCACACCCAGACTATTTTTGGACTGCGTTTGAAGATTCCTCCTTTTTTTGATTATCTTTTTACTATTTTTGAAGATTCCTCCTGTAGAGGGACACGCCCGGCTTAGATGCAGGCAGGGGGCCGCCACGAGGTGCGGGGGCACCTTGGGGCACGCCAGCGGCTGCCGTAGAGCATCTCGCAGACAGGCGCGGGCCACGCCCGGGAGCGCCGCCCCGAACTGGAAGAAGGCCGCCAAACCAGCGTCGTCACGAGAGGCTCAGGTCGGGCGCGTCCTCCTACAGGCGGATCTTGGACGGCGCGCCCTCCTGCAGGCGGATCTTGGACGGCTTAGGTCGGGCGTGTCCTCCTACGGGCGGGCCCCTTGGGGCAAGCCAGCGGCTGCCATAGAGCATCTCGCAGACAGGCGCGGGCCACGCTCGAGAGCGCCGCTCCGAACTCGAAGAAGGCTGCCAAGCCAGTGTCGTCACGAGAGGCCATCCGCGTCATGGCGCGGTGCGCATCCCCGGCATTCCCGAATCATCGGGCGGCCGCCGACGAACCCACAACAGCCATTCCACGAGATCAGCAGCAACTCGATTCTGAACCAGACGGCGTTGGCCGGGTGTCCCCAGGGTCGTTGTATTCTTCGGCGTCTGCATCTGTCCGTGCGGGCGCCTTGGGCGCGAACGCGATCAAACTGCTGTCGAGCCTCGTGATCCGCGTAGGAAACTGTCCAGAAATAGAGAACCTGGGTCCGTCGGCACATACTGACGAACCTCGAACAAGACGCGCACTACAAGCGGACCCAACAACCTACAGGTCAAAAAAACAATGCCATCCGGTCCTGGCGCAGAGTCTGGAATGGGTTCAAAGCTGCTTGCACATCTCCCCCGCGGGGCTGCCACGCCGGATCTTCTGGCGGGGAGAGGCCCTCGGAAGATGTCTTCCTGCAGCCATCGCCTCGGCGCCCGGCGATCCACCTGACACGACTCAACCGTAGCCCACCAATGACTGCGGAGAGCCGCCGCCATCACTTCTGGGTCCGTGACCGCCTCGCCGCGGGCTTTCCGCACCGCAAGCAACGCTGTCGGCCTGCCAGGGGATCGTCTGCAGAGCGCAGCGCTGCTAGTCATCACGCGCACTGCTCCTTGACGGCGTGAGGCATCCGTGGCCCGCTAGGCGATACTGGTGCCGAGGCCTCCCTCTTGCACCTCCACCTCTTCTACCTCTTCCATGCTATACCTCCTCCTCCTCCTGCTCCTCCTCCTCCTCCTCCTCCACCTCTTCTACCTCTTCCATGCTATCCCTCCTCCTCCTCCTCCTCCTCCTCCTCCTCCTCCTCCCGTCTTCCTGCTTCCCACCCCACCTCCGCCCTCCCGGCTCCATTCCCCCTGGGCCCCCTGGCACGGGAACGGCTTGTCATGCGAGAACATGCTTCGTGTCTCCACTTCCGCCGTGCTCCGCCCATCGTCCTGGAGCTCCTGCCTCATTCTCCCCCTCCTCCTCCAACTCCTCGTCCTTCCTCCACCGTCCTCCTCCATCGTCAATCCAGGTGGGAAACGGGATGGGGGCGGACTCGATTGGGTGTGCAACGAAGGCATCCTGTAATAGCTTGTAGACAGGGAAGGGAGAGACTGTGGAAGAGGAGGGGAAGGGGGAGGGGGGGGACGAGAAAAACGAACTTCACTACGACAGGGCCACGCTTCGTGATAAGCCCCCTCCTCCAATGCAGCCCCTCCTCACCAAAGTGATGATCTATAAGCGGCGCAGCCCAACACATACGAGAGAAATCCCACTCGTTGGCCGTCGATCAAAAGGTAATGCGCCCTGTAAGGGAGCGAACCTTCACGTCCTGGTCGAAAAATCCCCCCTATCCCCTCTCCACCCTGGGGACCGAGGGAGGACGGGCAGGACGAGGAGGAGAGGAAGGGGAGGAGGATGAGGGGGAACGGCACAATGCATCCTGTACATTGGGGGAGGAATGAGAAACAAATGGGCCCGAGCACGCCATCACGACTCACCCGCGAAGATGACCACGAAGGGCCTCGAGGGATGCCGCGATGGCATGACCGCTAGCTGCGACTCCCGGCGGCGCGCGGGCTCCCGCCGCCGCGAGGACGCCTCTCCTCCCTCGGTCCTCGCCCTCGCCTCCACTCGACCTCCCTCTTCGCCCCCCCCCTCCCTTCCTCCTCGCCCCTAGGGAGCTCCGTCCGCGTCCCTCCCCTCCCCCCTCCCTCCTCGCCCCTCCTCCACCCGCCCCCTCCCCTCTGGCGGAGGCATCCGCGCCGGCGGCCGGCCGTGCTGCGCGCTGCGCGCCGCGGCTCGCTGCGCGCCTCGCGCGCGCACTGGGCCCCCCCCGGGGGGGGGCGCGCCCTCGGGGTGCCGTCCGCCGCCCCGAGGGCGCTGGAGCCCAGAGGCGCCCCCCGGCGTGGTTGGCGCGGGCAGCGGGAGGGCCTGCCCCGTGGTGCCCTCGGTGCAGGACGAGGTCCTCCCTCCGGCCTCCTCCCTCGCGTCTCCTCCGTCCGCTTCCTCCCTCCTCCCTCCTGTGCTCGTCGTGCTCCCCTTCCCTCCTCCCCCTTCCTGCCTGCTCCCACCTGGTTCCTGTCCCTCCGTGCCGGTCATCGTTCCGCCCTCCTCCTCGTCCGTTTTCCTCTTGCCTCTTCCTGCTTCTGCCGCTGACGCCATGTGTGACCGTGGCCCAGCACGACGCCGTGCTGCTGGCTAATGGCATTGGAAAGTGTTTAAGCAGTTTACTTTCTGTTGGTTGTGAACGTGGCGTGCTCGGAAAGAGAATAAAAGAACGAGAGAGAGAGAGAGAGAGATAGGTAGACATTGTGGCAACTCACGCATTTATACAAGGGAAGATCTGAGACGAGAGACCAGATAACGAGGGCATGTTAACACGCAGCCGCGCTTCAGATGCATTGTTTCTTCAAACGGTTGTGTTTGACATGCGGGGGTATGCCCCGATTCCGAACTCAACCAACATGAGGCAAGAGACACGGCACGCACACATGTCTGGATAACTCCACGAAACCATATAATGGATTCTGATGTTCCCCTGCACAACCTGCATGCACAAATCTTATACATACACCTCTATAGAGGTGTACACACACTAGAGGCACGCGCGCGCGCTTCGCGCGCGCTTTGCTTCTCGCAAGCTCTCGTTCTAGTCTAAAACGTTCGGTACTGGAGGACATCGGCTTTCGCACGGGGTGTGCCCCTCAGGGAGCTCCACCTGCGGCCCCAGAGACAGGCCGGGCTAGCGTTCCCCCCGCCCTTGTCGGCGCCACCCACCACAGGAATCGCGTCCCACGGGAAGCTCCACCTACGTCACCAGAGACACGCTTCGCATGACGGCACGCCCCTCACGCGGATTGTTTCCCGCAAGTAGCTGAATTTGCGGACTCGGAATGAAGCTTCATAACTTCGCCCCGCTCACTTCGGCACATCTCTCACACGGATCGTGGGCCGCAACAAGTTCCACGGACGGCCCCAGTGGCAAGGTTCGCATCCCGCCCTCACATCTACTTCGGCACACCTCTCACATGGATCGTGGCCCACAGGGATCTCCACCTACGGGCCCAAAGGCAAGCAAAGTTCGCACTGTGCCCCTCTCTGGCCATTGCGGCACACCCCATCACGCGGATCGTGCCCACAAAGCGCGCCACCTGAAGGCCCAGCCCAGAGACAAGGTTCGTACAGCGTTCCCCCGCCCATGTCAGCAGACTTGTCACGCGAACCATGCCTCAGAAGGAGCTCCACCTATGGCTATGGCACCAATGGTTAACTTCGCATGGCATACACCCGCCCATTTCGGAACATGCCTCGCACGGGTCGTGCCCAAAGGAACTCCACCTGCGGCCGCATTGGGGTCGTTCGCGCGGGGGTATCCGCGCCGTACAAGCAACCCAAGCATTCCGCACACCCGTGCACTCGTGCTCCGCAGCAATAATCTTTCCGCATTGCCCCGCGGCGCGCATTGTATGAAGGGAGACCCGCGCCCTGCGCTACACATGGCTACATAGAGATGGGTCCGTCGCCAAACCAATTGCCTGCTTATCTATGGCCTTCGGCCCATACCACTACTGTACCTGAGTTTGGGGCCAGAACATCCTTGGATACACCGAATTCGGGGTCTCTTGGCATGTTTCTCGGGCGCCTCGTGGAGCGAGTGTTGAATCTGCTTGTGACCGTATGTGGGCCATGTGGGGGCAACTTGGGGTATCTCATGGGGCCCTTGGGGGTATCTTGGGTGCTTGCTGCGGCATCGGGGGCCCCATTCGTGGCGGAGGGCTCGTCTGGGGCGCCTCTTGGACCGTCTAGGGGCTCTCTTGGGCCGTCCTGGGGCTCTCTTGGAGGCCTCTTGGGCCGTCTTGGGGTGATTTGTGGGGCCTCTTGGGCCGTGTTGGACGCTGTTAAGACCCAAACTGCGAATATCGTTAAAATGCACCGTCCCCCTAGGGGATGAAACAATTTGGGCCTCCTGGGGCCCTCCCGGGGCGCATCTTGGACCCTTCGGCGTCTTCGGGGCCTTTTAAACCGTCTTGAAACAATATTCGAACGCTAGCAGCCCTGTCAAGCCGCTCTGGTCGGTCGTTTTTCGGTGGCCCCGGCCCTGGGACCTCGATACGCCAGCACATATATATATATATATATGTATATATATATACACATACATAAAACATTTATATTTACTAGAACCATCGCGCGCGCTTCGCGCGCGCTCAGGTTCTAGCAGGCCCCAGGCCTTGACGATTTCACTGCTCCACTGAAGTAGTGGACCACAGTCCACGCATGCCAATCTGCATTCCGAAAGGCCTTCGAAGAGAATGGTTGTGTAGGAATCGGGTTCCCAGAAAGCCTTCTGGGAGCATGGGTTTGGGGGCGTCTTGGGGAGCCTGTTGGAGCGTGCCGTCGTCGTCGTCGTCGCCGTCGTAATGTCGTCGTCGTCGTCGTCGTCGTCGTCGTCGTCGTCGTCGTCGTCGTCGTCGTCGTCTTCGTCACTTCGTCGTCGGTTCAAGAGGGCACTTGGGGCATCTTTGTGCGAAACGATCTGCGGAGGGCCGCGAGAAGGCGATCAGTCATGCATGTTCCCAATCAAGTTCCCAGACAGCTCTCATGTAGCATGATGGTACTTCGAAGCCTCTGGAGACTCTCGGGCCCATGATGAACCATGTCCCCGGAAGGCTTTCTGGGATCATGGTTTGTTGGGGTGTGTCGGGGAGTCTCCTGGGCGTTCCCTGGGGGCCCCTTGGGGGCCTCCGGGAACTCTCGGGGGGCCCATGATGAACCATGTCCCCGGAAGGTTTTCTGGGGACAGGATTTCTTGGGGTGTGTTGGGGGGCATCTTGGGCGTTCCCTGGGAGCCCCTTGGGGGTCTCTTGGGGCTTCCAGGGGGCCTCTTGGGCGCCTCACGGGTCTTCGTGGGAGCCTCGTGGTGGCCTCTGGGGGCCTACAGGCGGCCTCTAGTGCCAGAGACCTCGAAATATCGGTTGGCGGTCCTCCTCTGGGCCCTCTCTTGGGGAGCTCTTGGGGCACAATTGGGTTGTCTGGGGAGCCTCCTGGGCCGTCTTGGGACCCTTTTCGGGGCCTCGTGGCCCGTCTTGGAGCGATCTGAAGGGCCTCCGAGCGAGGCCGTGAGGGAGCGCTGGGAAGCGGGGAAAGCGAGAACGCCTACATCCTTTGGAAAATTAGTAAATCTTGCCTCCCAGGGCCCTCTCGGGGAGCCTCTTGACTCCGTCCTGGAGCGTGTTGGACTCCTCGTCGGCCGTCTTGAGGGCAGCTTGGGCGTCTTCGGGGCCTCTTGGGACCGTCTAGGGCCCTCTTGGGACCTCCATTAGCCTGTCGTGGCCTGCTTCGGGGCGGGCTCGGGCCGCCTCTGGACCCCTCTGGGCCTTCTCTTGGCGCGCTCTTGGGGCACACTTGGGTTGTCTTGGGAGCATCTTGGGCCGTCTTGGGGCCCTCGTCGGGGCCTCGTGGGCTTCTCGGAACGATCTGAAGGGCCTCCGAGGCCGTGGGGGAGCGCCGGAAAGCGGGAAAAGCGAGAACGCCAAAATCCAAAACACTCGGAAAACGAGTGAATCTTGGTCCCAGGGCCCTCTTGGGGAGCCTCTTGCGTCCGTCCTGGAGCGTGTTGGAGTCCTCGTCGGCTGTCTTGAGGGCATCTTGGGCGTCTTCGGGGCCTCGTGGGACCGTCTTGGGCGCTCTCGGGACCCCCTAGGCCTGTCGTGGCCTGCTTCGGGGCAGGCTCGGGCCACCTCGGGAGCTCTGGACCCCCCCCGCAATCCCCGGTGGGCACCGATGGGGGGAACAAGCAACGGCCCGCCCTCCCCCTCTGGGCCTACTCCGAGATAGAGAATCATGCTCCGGGGAAGCTTTCCGCGAGCATGATTTGTTCGGCTCTCTAAGAGGGGGGCCTCTGGAGGCTTACCGAGGGGCGCCTTTGGCCTTGTCGACAAGCCTATTGGAACCATGGTTGGGGCGGTGGGCGGAAGCCCAAGGAATCATGTTCCTGGAAAGCTATCTGGGAAATACGAATCTACCGAAGTGTCTTGGGGGCCCGCAGGGGGCTTCCCTGGGGGCCTCTTGAGGGCCTATTGGGGCTTCGGGGGGGGCCTCTTGGGAGCCTCACGGGGCTTCTTGGGAGCCTCTTGATGCCCTCCGGTGGTGGCCTAGGAGCCTCTCAGGCCGGAGACCCTGAAATGTCGCACTCTTCGGGCCCTCTTGGGTCGCTCTTGGGGCTTTCTTGGGGCGCTCTCGAGGCCTCCTGGGCCGTCTCTGGGCTTTCTTGGGAGCCTCTTCGGCTGTCTTGGAGCGATCTGAAGGGCCTCTGACGCGGTCCGGGACCGTGGGGAGGCGGAACATGGGAAAGCGCGAGAATGCTTCAAAAACCATTTGGAACCTATAGGATTTTCAGCTTCTGGGGCCCTTTAGGGGGTCTCTGGAGGCGCTCTTGGGGCGTTTTGGCGGCGTCGTC